CAGTTTGCAGGCCTTGAACTACAATGTGAGACAAGTCCTGGTATGCGAGCCCCCTCTGTTTGAACTGCCGGCGGTTGTGTAATGCTCTCTGCGGTTTGGTTGATTTTCACAAGGCCGGCAATCACTGGAAGTGCGTCTAACCTTCCCCACTATCTCCCTAGGAGTCTAAGGGGCATCTGAGTGTAAGTCAATGATGTTCGTGCGTGTCGAGAGAAATGGATACAGGAGAGAGGATAAACAAGGAAGATTACAGAAAGCGGACCTGAATACTTCACCGCATGTGAAAGTTGAGTTTGTCCCCCGGGTATGAAAGCAATAGAATGCAGAGTTCCTGGCATTTCTGTAATCCTGAGTGCCTGTAATGGCAGAGTTGTGAAAAACAAGAATATGCCCCTAACTTTTACATTACGTGAACCGCAAATTTCTGACGGCGGGGCTTTGATCTGGAAACAACCCGCTTTGTCTTCCGGAGGCGATCGGTGTCCTTCTGAAGGGTGACTGACCTGTAGGATGACTCAGAAGTGCAGTTACAGCTCCGTGGCTAAATATCCCAGCATGCATTGCGGTTGCCGCGGCATTCTAAACACCGCCAGTCTTTCGTCAAGTATCCCCAGCATGTATTGGTTCTAGCACTACTCTGTTAAGGTTCGATTGGAGTAAACATAAAACTGAAGGTAAGAGGAAGCTTTGCTCATGCCAGTAAGCACTAGTTTGGCCGCCAGTCCGAGATAATTAGCCCAAAGATACAGGTCAGCTCTGACAACAAAATGGCCTCAGGTCTGAATTCTTTGTGACTCGAGCATCACCTCCTGGCAACAAATGCGAGGTGCCTGCACCTGCACTACAGAAATCGCCACGGAAACAAGTCACATGACCCAATCTGAGACGTATCACATTGCAGATGGCCCTTGGGTTCTTGCTCTTTGGCAGATAAATGATGTCTGTGCTTGTGTTTTAAATTTATAAAGCTGGAGATTTACTAGATATTTACTGAAAAAGGTCTTTGCCCCAATTTTTAAAGCAGCCCGGCTACATGAGGAACATCGGAGTTGGCGTCCTGTGCTGCGCTTGCATTTGGGAGCGTGTTCCCCCAGATTTGTAGGGCAAGAGAGAAGTAGTGGGGTAATTGACCACTGACTACTCCAGTGTCCTGGTCCTCAGTGGGAGGCCACTGGGCCCCGCCCACAAACATGACATTTAGCCCCTTGTAGTCCGGCCCCTCCCTCCGGAGCCAAACACAATG